CCTAAAAATTAATGAAAAAATTATCTAAAATCAAGAAAAAATTGCCTAAAAATCATGGAAAGTGAGCTATAAACTAAACCAAAATTAACAAAATTTAGGAAAATTCTCAGCGAAAAATGTGAAATTTTCACGAATTTCAGCACTTTTTTACCGTATTTTCTTTGCTCGAAATTATAGGTTTCGGCTGAAACGGCTTGTTTTCCTTCCACTGAGAAATCCGAAAAATAGCGCTAAATTCAAAAGTTTGTGTTCGAATTTTTGTGTCAAAATTAGATTGAAAACTAATTCAATTTCAAATTTCAGTGGGCCAAAAACTGTGACATTGGAGACGCTTCTCGTGGCTCACTGAGCTCTTACGCTCACATCATCATGCTCATATCGTACCTCCAAAACTGTGATCCACCAGTACTTCCACGTCTTCAAGAGGACTTTCGAAGTGATAACAGAGGGAAGAGGATGGTTGAGAACTGGGATACATCTTATGCACAGGTCGAGGAAGCTCTTCTGAAGTCGTGGCCAAAGAACAAGGAGTCGTGTGCACAATTGCTCATTGGCTATTTCGACTATTATCTCGATTCGATTTCCGAAACTTTGTGGTTCAATGTCGACGAGAAATGACACTGTCGAAGATGGAAAAGGAGTGGCCTCGACCGATTTGTGTTGAGGATCCGTTCGATTTGAATCACAATCTCAGCAGTGGAGTTACCAAGAAAAGTGAGTGAAAAAAGGTCCCACAACGACAACTACCGTAACCCAAAAATACTTTTATTTTTAGGATTTTTTGCTCAATTTTTCAGCTGACTTTTCTGGAGGAAAATCAATAGAAAACGAGAAAATAAATCCAAAAAATATAATTTTCTAGGTTACTGTAGTTGGTACCTTCAGCAACGGCCAATATTATCCTTGTCTGGCGCTGATAAACCTTGTCGTTTATATTTTCTTTAAAGGCGCATAGCCGGTCCTGCAGAGGAAACGATTACGGTTTTTACAAATAACTACATGCGCCTTTAATACAGGACTTCGGAATTAATCTATTTGTGCCTA